GGTTAAAGTTAAAAAAACAACAACAACCCACCATCACGTTCCTTTGCTTGGAGAAAACCTGGCTCATAAACAACCTTGTTTCTTGAAGCTTGGAGCTGTGTTTCTATCGTCCACCTAAGGGTAAAATTCCTTTTTCCCAGGAGAAATGAAATCGAGAAGAGTAATCTTATTTAGCTGCATTAATGAATATCAGTCGAACTGGGTAAGGATTGATTTTCCAAGGCATCGTTTCACGACAAAAAATAAATCATCCCTCTGTGCAAAATTGAATCTCTCCAGCTAGGAAACTAAAGGGACACAGGGGCTCAGTGGCTAAGACGCTGAGCTTATCGATCAAAGGGTTGGCAGTTTGCTGGTTCGAGTCTCTAGCGCCGCATAACGGAGCGAGCTCCCGTTGCTTGTCCCAGCTTCTGCAAATCTAGCAGTTCGAAAGCACGTAAAAAAAAATGCAAGTAGAAAAATAGGGACCACCTTTGGTGGGAAGGGAACAGTGTTCCGTGCGCCTTCAGTGTTGAGTCCTGCCGGCCACATGACCACAGAGACATCTTGGACAGTGCTGGCTCTTCTGCTTTGAAACGGAGATGAGCACCGCCCCCTGGAGTTGGGAACGACTAGTAAATATGTACGAGGGGAACCGTTTTTTATTTTTTAATTTTCATAACATATAACCACATGTATACTATTACATAACGTACATCGTATTGTATTATTAAATGTTTACATCAATCCGTCTTACCATCAGCCCCCAAAAACAATTATTGGCTCTTCTGATCTCCATACACCGTATTTGTACTTTATCCATCGCATTCTTCTCCCTCTCTCCTCCTCCTCCCTACCTCCTTTCTTCCTTCCGTCATCCTTCTCTACTTTCCCTTCTTCTCTCCTTCTCCTCCCTCCCCCTTTCCACTCCTCCTTTCTCTCCTCCTCTTCTCCCTCCCCTGCCCTCTCTTCTATCATTGGCTTTTATGGAAGTATCTGATTGAAACCATTAATGAAAAAAAAATCATTTTCTCTTAAATATAATAACATTTCCTGGACTAAAGTTGTGCGGAGAATCATCGCTAATTGCTTCTTTTAAGGCCTCTGTATCTCACTTCCAAATGAGTGAACCCCTTTGTGCGTTGCGTAAGAGAATTTTAAATGTGGTCCATTTATCAAAAGGAAAGGCACAACGAACACAGGGAGAGGCTCAAGTTCTGGAGTCGAATTCGAAGCACAGAAGACGCTGTTATCGGAACCTCAGTAGAAGAATCTGATCACCTCAAGGTCAGAGTTAAACTGGTGCTAGAGAATTCAACGAAATCCATGCAGGGTTGGAATCGGGACTTTTGCGGCTGCGCCATGATTCCAAACTGATGACACATTTGAAGCCGCCCTCTGGCTCAGCCTGTTCTTCCACAGTCGTCAAACCAGGTTATACCGCTTAAGTACAAAGAGGAAGGCGATACATTTTAAAAATGCACGTTTTCTTCATACATTCTTAGAATGGTCCATGGGGCCACTACAAGATGATTCTTCTTCTTCTTCTCCTTCTCCTTCTCCTTCTCCTCCTCCTCCTCCTCCTCCTCCTCCTCCTCCTCCTCCTTCTTC